CTATTCGGCAGCCGCACCCCACCCGGGGCAGCCAGCGCTGGGACACCGCCAGGGCCCCGCAGGCCCACATGGCCAGGTACAAGAAGTGCGTGGTCACCAGCGCCCCCAGCTGGGCCCCGGGAGAATAGAGGCCGTCACCATACTCCGGGGGCACGGGTGTCACCGCGCCGGCGCTCCCAGCAGCCAGGAGGGAACCTGAGTCACTCAGGAGGGGGCCGCTGCTCCTGAGCCTGGGGGAGCCCCTCGGCTCCTCCCCCGGCTCCAGAGAGCCCCTGCTGTTGCCCCCCTTTGGGCTCCGTGTCAGAGGCCCCCGCAAGCGCAGCCCTGCGCACAGGAAGTAGATCCAGGTAACCAGCAGAATCAAAGCCACCGGGATGTAGAAGGCTCCGAGGCTCGGGCGCCACACCAGCCAGCAGCTGAGGGGAGACAGGCGGGTGAGGACGCGGTCTGCAGTGCTGGGAGAGGGGCGGGGCCACATGCAAGGGCGGGGGGCCTCACTAGGGGCTGTGGTCCCGGTAGTTGTGGATGTTCACAGCCGCGGTGATGCCGCAGATGATGAGTGGGATCCCGCCGGCGATCAGGTAGAACCTAGGGGTGGGTCAGGTGCTCAGCCCTTCCCCGGGGCCTGTCCCAACCTCGTCCTGCTGGGTTCTGAGACTGCCTGGATGCAAGGCCCCTGCAGGGCAGGCAGAATCTGTACCGGCAGTGGGAGCCCGACGCCCGATGGGTGCTCTCCCTGAGCAGCGCAGAGGTCAGGGTGCCCTCAGATGCCTGGGGTCCCTGCCCCTGTCCCTGGAGCGCCTCGTACCCGGCCCTCTGGACGAGAGCCCCCGGACCAACCTCCTCCTGGTTTTGTGTAACCAGGCTCCCCCAGGGTCTTGCCATTCTGCTTCCGCCTCCCTGCCTCCACCCTCTGAGGCCCTCCCCAGGCACTGTCTGAGGCTGACAGTGCAGGGATGTACCGGAGCATGGGACGAGGTGCAGGTGGGGCAGGGTCGCCTTCCTGTGGAGGGGGCGCCCTCCAGGTGAGCTCCTTGTGGAGGACCCGAGCCTTCACGCCCATCCAGAGCAGCGTGGACAGTGAAGAGTAGTGCAGGGTGATGCCCACCTGCAGGGCAGGGCGCCAGCGTGTCCTCCCCTCCGCCCAGAGGCCCATCCTGGACCGCCACAGACTCCCTCCCTTCCCTGCTGCCTGTCTGCACCCCACTGCAGGGGCGCCTCACAGCCCTGTCCTCGCTACCAGGTTCCCACTCTCCACTCTGAAGCCCCACCCCTACTTTGGACCTGGTTCTGCACAGGCCCTGTTCTCACTCCTCAGCCCCACCCTCATCTCTGGGCTCTGAGAACCGGGTGCTTTTCTGCCCTGGGCAGCTCCTCCTGTGGACCAGGAGCGCCCTGGCTCCTCTTACCGCCTGGCAGACCACCTGGTAGTCGGTGAGCGTGATGCCCCCTGCAAAGACGGCGGAGGTCATGGCCACGTGGAAGCACAGGTTGAGCAGCATGTGCCAGCCCTTCCGGGACACGTGGATGGAGCTGAGGAACAGCCTCAGTGAGCAGGCGGCCACTCGGCCCAGGCCCGGGGGTTTGAGGCCACCCTCAGAGCCAAAGGGGGGCCTGTGATGTCTGTGCATGGGGGGCAGGATGTCCCTGAGTCCCCAAAACCTTCAGATGGGCGGGAGCCTGGGAAAGGCCTTGGGGAGCCCCTGCAGCCCACCATGCCCTCTCCCAGCAGGGGCTCCCACCTGTGGTGCAGGATGTAGGTGATGATGGTGGAGAAGAGGCACAGCAGCAGCAAGGCGGTGCAGGGGTACACCACTGGGTGCAGCCCTGCCCCGGGGCCCCCCGCCTCCCTGGGGAACGCGCTCAGCTCCTGGGGTACAGAGAAGAACAAGTGAGCATTGAGGCCTGGCCTGCGCCCTCTTCCCAAGCCTGCTGGCCTTGGTCCTGAGCTGGGGGCTTCCTGGCGGGCAAGGATGCAGGCACCTGCACTCTCGACCATCTCCTGTCTGCCCCCACTAGCCTGCCCTCCAGGACTGCTGGGATCCCTAGCCTGAGAAAGCAGGGGTGAGGACGGAGGGAGCAGGCGCTGTCTGCAGCCCAGCTTGTGCTTGCTCCACGTTTGGGGGTGCGGGCTATGAACACCAGGGCAGGGGACCAGGACGGGGTGGGAGCAGTGGGAGGCTGACCAGAAAGGGTGGAATGGTCCTGGATTCTTTTGCCACTTTAAGAATTGGGGTCTCAGGGCCAGCAGGTAAGGCGCTGGACTGCCACATGGCCAACCATGGTTTGAGTCCTGGACCTGGAGGCTTGTTTTCCTACTTTCTTTGTCTCTCTAGTCAAATTAAACAAACAATAATGATGATAATAAATGAAATAAAATGATTCTTTCAAAAAAGTAATCCGGGTTTCTGAGAGACTGGCAGATGGTGTATGGTTATATCACTGGGCTCCTACGTAGTTGACTGTGGTTCGAGCCTGGACCTGGCGGCTTAAAACTCACGCCAGCCATATTTGTGTGCATGCCCAAAAATCCTAAGAGGAGAATGGAGGAGAAGAGACTGCGGCGTGGCCACCCCCTCACCTGGAGAGGTGTGATTTCTCACTTTCTATTTCTTTCTGTCTTTCCAGCACACACCCTATATAGCAAAATTCTCTCTCTAAAAAAAATAAGAATCTGAGTTTCCAAAAGTGTGAGATGTGCAGGCAGGGCCGGGTCTCCCAGGCCCATCTCTCGATAGGGGAGTGAAGGCGGGACCCCGTTTCCTGCAGGATGGAGGGGTGGGAGACACCAGAGGGCCATTTCTCCCAAGTCCAGACAGGGGCAGGGCCCACTCAGCCGCCGGCCTTCCTGCACTGAGGTGGGTGGTCAGCAAGGCCCCTGCCCCCCACACTGTCCCTCACGTGTCCTCCCCACACCCACCATAAGCACGGCCACATTGCCCAGGTGCAGGCAGTGCAGGGAGCTGGCACCGGGCTGGCTGGAGTGCAGCCGGCAGCCCTCGGAGCTCCAGCCTCCAGGCCCCCCAGGGCCTTCCTGGCTCCACCAAGCTGCCATGGGTTCGGTGCCCTCAGCCCAGTGCCGCAGCGACACGGCCACCGGCTCCGTCAGGTTCCCCACGCCACAGCCACCTGCAGGGGGAGAGGGAGGCACAAACACATGGGGCTGCAGGGGGTTGGGTCGGGCTGGCTCCGGCTGCCAGAGCAAGCGGGACCCTGTGGGGCAGGGATGGCTGGCTGAGGACGGCCCAATGCAGCTGGGGAGGCGCGGGGGCACATGGGGAGGGTGAACCAGACGTGTCCAGGAGAGAGGCTCTGGGCCGGGACTGAGAGAGCTTGAGGGGACCAGTGCCCAGCACTGGGACAGAGGACAAGGGGACCCAGCAAAGGACGGAAGTCAGAGCAGAGCTGTGGGGCCCCCCAGACACGGGGTGCATGTGCCCACAGCCCCACCATGCTGCCAGACCTCCGCCCTTCCTCGGGCAGCTCTCACAGCCTCAGGTCTGGGCTTCCAGAAAAGGCCTCCCTGCCCTGGGCAGGCATTCCTGGAAAGCGACGCTCTGGAACAGCCGCCCAGCTGCCCCGACGCCCAGCTGCACGCACCAGCGCCATGGGCCCATCTTCTCTGCTGACCTGTAGTCCCCGGGACGAGGCACAACTGTGTCCAGCCCAGCAGAGTCAGCCTGTGCCAGGTGCTCAGCGAGCGACCCTGGTCAGAGTGAACGATACGGTGGGGGCATCTGCAAAGCCACCTCGGGCTCTGGGAAGGGGTGGAGCACGGGGACCCACAGCTGACCGGAGCCATGAAAGCCTTGCAGGGGCTCTGACTGCAGGGTGCCACTTCATGCAGGTGCGTGCACTGTGGGGGTGGAGGAAAGTGGAGGAGCCTGGCAAACAGAAGCTCAGGGAGTCCAGTGTGACGGCTGTGGTGGCAGACTGGTGGCTGTCAGCCTGGATGGCAGGAGCAATGGTGGGGTCCAGGCAGAAACAGGACAGGTGGAGTGGCTGGTTGGGGAAGAAGCTGCTCCTGATGGGGCCGTGAGGCTGGGCAGCAGAGGGGCCTGAAGGTGCGTCCACCTGGTTTCTGGGTAGCAGATGCTCAGAGGAGTGCAACATGGCAGTCTCGCCCACCACCCCTCTGCTCTCATTACTCTACCTGCCCTGGCACCCACCTTCCCTGTGTCTCTGGAAATCCGGATGCCCCCCAAGGCCCGTCTGTGTCAGTCCCACCTCCAGGCCAGTGGCCAGAACCTTCCTTAGAAGGGCTCTCACCTTGACCTCCTGGGGCAACTCCCTGGGGCTGCCCTTGGAGGTTTTGAACCCTTGTATTGCACAGGGACAGGAGCCCTGGGGGGCAGGGCCATGCCTGGATGATTTTATTCCATATTAATAGCACCAGGGGCCAGCAGGTAGCATGGTGGTTGAAGCACTAGACTCCTATGTGTTCAGCTGTGGTTTGAGTCCTAGACCCGGTGGCTGGAAACTCACACTGGGCGCGTGTGCGTGCATGCCCAAAATTCCGAGAGGAGAATGGAGGAGAAGGGATTGTGGTGTGGTCATCCCCTCTGGGGGGTGATTTCTCACTTTCTCTCTGTCTCTCTCTGTCTCTTTCTCTGGTGAATGCACGTACTCTATAGCAAAAGTCTCTCCCAAAATAAATATGTAAGACAGGGCCCAGCTGCCAGCAGGTGGCCATTCAGTGTCACTCGCCTGCCCTGAGCAGTGTGTGGCAGCACAGAAAGTGTGCTGTGAGTGAGAGCGCGTGTGCGTGTGCGTGTGCGTGTGCTGGAGGGAGTGGGTGGACGGTGGTGCCTACAGCATTGTTGAAATCTGGGATAAAAGGGAGTCAGCAGATGGAGTAGTGATTACATCGCTGGACTCCCACATGGCTGACAATGGTTCAAGTCCCAGACCCAGCAGCTTAAAACTCACGCCGGGCACGTGTGTGTGCTCGAGATCTGGGAGAAGGGAGAAGGGATTGCAGAGTGACCATCCCCCTTGGAGGGTGATTTCTCACTTTGTCTCTCTGGTGAGTGCACAAGCTCTACAGCAAAAATCTCTCTAAAAAAGAAAGAAAAAAGAAAGAAAAGAAAAAAGAAATCCAGGATAGAAAACCCAGCCTCCTCCTGAGCCTTGCCCCCACCCGTCCCTTCCTCTCTGAGTCCCGCCTGCCTCACTCTCCTCAGGGAATGGCAGGGACACCCCCATCCTCTGCCACCTCCAGGGCACTGGGGACTGTGGGTGAGGGGTGGGGGTGAGCGGTGCAGGGAGACCGTGAGGCCAGGGAGGCGGGGGGGCAGTCCCTTACTGGTGCCGGCAAAGATGACCGGGGTGGCTACGCCACGCCGCTTGCCGGGGCCAGCAGCTCCAGGGCGGGAGGCGTTGCCGTGGCTGCGGAAGAGGCGGCCGTTTCGGAACACGAGCAGTTGCAGGGTGCAGTCCGGGGGGCCCGAGGGAGCCAGGGCAGCCGGCAGGGACGAGAACAGGCTGGGGGGCAGCTGGATAGAGGCCAGGGCCACGCTGTTCTGGGGGGACACGGGGCTCCTCAGAGACGCCCCTGTGTCTTCTGCCCCTGCTCCACCTCGCGGCCCCCAGCAGCCCCCCAGCAGCCCCCCAGCTCCCGCAGCACCCACCTTGATGTGGAAGGAGGACAGGGAGACGTTGGGCCTCCCGGTGGTGCAGCGGAAGCGCAGCTGCTGGTCGGTGGAGGGCTCGGGCTCGGGCGGGGCGTTCTGGCCAGCGCTGCCTGGCTGCATGCCTGGCACCCCGACCTCCCTCCTCTGGAAGGCTGTGCAGGTCAGGCCCACATAGCTGTGCGGCTTGATGAGGTAGGCCTCCAGGGCCACGTTCCTCGAGTTCTAGGGACAGGGACTTGTCACGCCATCGCCTGAGACATGGTACGCCTGCTACAGACCTGCTCAGGCTACGCCCCCTTCTCCCTCGCTGTCCTTCAACACGGGGCCCAGCCGCGGGCTCCTTCTATGGCAGCAGCGCCCGCTCACTCGTCTTCTCTCTTTCTAAGTTTCTTTATTATTTCATGAGCGAGAAGGGAGAGAGGACAGAAAGGACACGGGGACCTTGACAGGGCCCTGCCATGTCATCACACTCCCTGTAGCTCGCAGGCCCAGGGTCATGGTGTGCCGGCACGCTCACCTCGAGTGGATCTGAACCAGGCGCCCTGAAGACCCGCCTCCGTGGCTGGGGCCCCTCGCCTGCACTAGCTCTGTGGTCTCCACTCCCTAGAGCAGGCGCCCACCTGCCCTGCGGTCTCCTGGAGCCCGGCACTGTCCCCATGGAGAGGGTGCACCTATGGCTGGCTGCCGGCTAGGCCCCTGCCCTGGGAACGCCTCCCCTCCTCTCAGGGAGCTCCCGCCCAAGCGCTGTCTGCCCTGCTCGCTTCCTGCAGCCCCTCTGCCCTCCCACCCTCATTGCAGGGCCAGCCCTCCAGCTCGGCTCCCCCGTAGGGCCTGGCCAACTGCCCGTCCCCTGCACACTGTCCTGATGACTGAGAAGGGACCCCCAAACGCAGTCCCATTCTCGGCTCTTGCCAGCTGGGCTGGGCAGGTGACTGAGATGCGTGCGTTCCCTTCCCGGGCCCTGGCCGGCTGAGTCCCTCCTGATGCAAAGGCCCCCGTTACCACGGAGATGTGCTGAGCATGGGGGCTGAGGGCGGCACCCCCGATGCGCTCCAGGGCGCCCACGATGCCGCTGCAGGCCTTGTCCTCGCGCTGGGCCAGCCACAGCAGGTGCTCGTCCACCAGCATCAGATTGCTGGCCATGTCCACCATCACCTCCACCAGCTGCAGGGGGGCGGCGTGAGGGCCGGGCCGGCTGGGGCATGCGTGGGTCCAGGCCCCAGAGCGCCAGTCGGACCTCACCTCTTTGATCTGGTCGATGTAACCCAAGAACTTCTGGATCATCTGAGCCACATAGACCACGTCCATGGTGTCGGAGAAGCTGGCGGCCTCGGCCGTGTACACGCGCAGCTGGTGAGCCAGGGTCAGCGCGTTGGAGGCGTTGATGGGCATCTGGGTGCATTGGAGGAGAAAGGGTGTCACCGTGCCGCCCGCCCCAGCACTGCCCCGGCCCTCCTCTGGGCTGTGCTCAGGCCACAGTGGTGGGAAGAAGCGTCTACACCACTGGCCGGTCTAGTCAAGGTAGGAGGGTTCCGACTGGCTGCCACTCCCAGCACCCCGGGCCTCAGGACGAGGGACTTGGCCTTCGATGTGCTGGTGGAGAGGGGTTAGGGTGGCCGGGGTTGGGCTGGAGGCCTGGCCTCGACCCTAGAGTGGCCTGGGGGTCTGAATCCCCCAGAAGAGGGACGCTAGAGGACACCAAGGGACGAGGCCCCAGGGCCAGAGGTGCTGGTCGTGCAGGCCAGCGCAGAGGGGCTCCCTGCAGCCAGGCCCTCTCGCCCCAGCGCACAGGCCCCACTCACCAGCACGAAGGTGTAGAGCACACGTGTGATGTCGTTGGTGTACAGGCAGTGGGAGTAGTCCCCCGGCTCCCAGCGGCCCGCGCGGTCGCACCGGCGGGAGGCTCGGGTGCCCGGGGAGCCCCCACTCAGGGGCACGGAGGTGAAGGGGTACTGCAGGCCCGTGACGCCAGCCAGGGTCCGAGGCCACCTGCGACAGACGGTGGGAAGGTGCTGACGATCCAGGCTCTTCGGGCAAGAGCCCCGTCCCTGCCCTTAGGACCACGACAGCACACTTTGGGGGCTCGGGGAAGGGTCCAGGAGCGGGGCTGGGACCGGCCTTTGAGGCCCCCACACCCTGCGTCTTGTCTGCAGTGTTGTCCCAGGGACATGCTGGCCTCCTGTCATGTCCTAGCTAAGGCCTTCGGAAGGTCGCTTGTCCTTCCCGGGCCTCGGCAGTCTCTGCTGGACAGTGGGGTGACTGACACCTGCCTGCCCGACACAGAGCTCTGCCCACCCCTGACACAAGGGAGGACTCCAAGGCCTCAGGGCCGCGCATCCCCACGTGCGGTGAGATGGGCCGGCCAGGAGCGCTGCTGCGGCTGGGACTTGGCTGAGAGAGCAGCGGGGAGGGCTGCCCGGGCTCCTGGTGTGTGCCCTCACAGGGCAGTGCCACACCTGAAGTCCCCACGGTTGTTGGCCACCCGCTCGGCAGGGCAGTAGGAGGCGGAGGTCTCCAGCACCACGATCTCCACCTTCTTGCTGGCGTTGCCCTGGACGGTGGACACGGAGCACTCCCATTCGCCCGAGGCCCACAGGCCGATGTGCGACAGGGTCAGCTCGCTGCAGGGGGGTGGGGTGGGCGCTGGCTTGGTGACCCACTCAGGCCAGGCCACCCCCAGCGCCCTGGCCAGGCCACCCGCCACACCCCGCCCTAGGTCACTATCTTCAGTGCTGCTTAATTTTTTAAAAAAAGTTTTACAGAGGACACTTGCACTGGTGAGAAGAGAGAGAGAAGAGAGAGAGAGGAGAGAGAGAGAGAGCACCACCCGGGGGCGTGTCATGCCACAATCCATTCTTCTCTACCTCCCTCCTGTCATGGTTTTGGGCACACACACACGTTCCTGTCTCCTCAAACACTTTGGGTCTAGGACTTGAACCTCGTGGTTGGCCACGTGGGATCCAGCCACCTTAACCACCAGGCCATCGGCTGGCCCTTCCACAGACTTTTTGAAGCCCCCATGTCATCATTTCTTCCCATCCCACGTCTAATTTCTGTCTCGATGTCTGTAAACACGTGCGCACGCACCCTCCTGGGAACATCTGGGCACAGCTCAGAGGGATGGGCCTGGCCCCGCGGGGTCGCAGGGCCTGTACCTGGTGATGAAGGTGCAGTCATGCACAAGGCTCTCGGCCAGAAGGATGCCTGTCTGCTCGTCGCCCTCGACGGGGTCCCGGTTGTGGTACCAGCGGATGTGGGTGTCGTTGCCCAGGTAGCTGGCGGAGCACTGGAAGGGCAGCCGGTCACCCTGGAACACCACTTGGCGCAGGGAAGGGATGAGGTGGTGGGTGTGCAGCTCCAGGGCCCCCTCTGTGGGGGAGACAGGGTGGTGAGGCGGCAGAGAGGGTGGGAGGAAGCCTGCGGGGCGGTGCAAAGGAGGTGCTGGTGGGTGGTGAAGACACGGGCTCCTTCCTCAGCTCGGCCGTGGCCACCAGGTGGGCTGGGTGAACACAGGAACCAGCGTGCACCCCAGGACAGAGTGGAGAGCTGCTGAGGACAGCCCGGGAACACCTGGGGCACTGGGTGGGGAGTGCCCGCTCACCGCAGCGGAGCTGGGCCTCCTGGAGGCCGCCTAGGGCCTGTGCGTGCAGGGCGCTGGGGTAGGTGCAGAGCGTGCGCTCTGACAGCTGCACAGAGTGGTTCCGGGCCCAGGGCAGCACCCACTGCAGGCGGCAGTCACAGGTCAGGAACTCAGTGCCAAAGTCCCTGTGGGAGGAGCAGAGGGAGTGTGGGCCGTGGGCGGGCATGGCCCGGGAAGGGACTGAGGCTGCAGGGCCATGAGGGCGAGCTGGCCATGTGTGCACCACCCCAGCCCCGCCGGGCACCCGCGGGAGGGGCATCTGTGGCCTTCGGGCATCATCTGTTCTGCCTCCTCCTGAGGCTGGCCACGTCCTCAGGTGCCGGGCCTGGGTCCTCGGGGTTCGAAGACACTCACACAGCCTTCAGGGCCGGCAGCTCGTCAAAGAGCCCAGGCTGCAGACCGGAGAAGATGTTCCCGGACATGTTTCTGCAGGGGCAGGGACAGCAAGGTGGGTCAGGGCCACCGAGGCTGGAGGGAGGAGGGAGAACAAAGGGCCGGGGGCTTGCAGGTTGGGGGCCTTGCCACTGCCTTCTCCCCCCCAAGCTCCCTCCTGGCTCCCGGCCATCACTCACAGTCGGAGAAGCCTGGGGAGGCCTTGGAAGGTCTCGGAGGAGAGACAGCCTATCCGGTTGTTGGAGAGATCTCTAGAGACACACACAGATCCGCTCGTGAGGGAGGGCGGGGGCTCGTGTGGTTGACGGGGTGAAAGAGAGTGGGCTGGGGGCCGTGCCCAGCCGGCTCTACGTGCCCACGCGCCCACGCACTAGACCCCTCCGCGCCAGGCAGGGAGGGGGGATGTGGCAGGAGGAGGGCCGCTGCACAGGGGCGGGGTGGGAGGGCAGGCCGTGCCACTCACAAGCGCTTCAGCTCCCCCAGGCCCAGGAAGGCGCCGGGCTGCACGGTGCTGATGATGTTGCTCCTCAGATCCCTGCAGGGGGAAGAGCAGCGGCCTCACACCCCTCCCCTCTGCAGGAGTGTCCCCACTGCTGCCACCAGCACTGGGATTCCTAGGGCGAGGTCTCCCAACCCTCTGCTCCACCTGACATCGGCTGCGAGGCTGGGTCTAGACCACGGGCAACCATCCAGGGGTCTGGTCAGAGAACGTCAGAGGATGCAGAAGCCACAGGTGGGATGGGAAGGGCCTCAGGCCCAGAGGACCGTGGTGGAGACAGGAGTGGACAGCACTGACTGGGGGTCGGGAGGCCTCTGTTTCCATGCTGCCCACCAGGAGCTGTCCCAGGACACCGGGAGCATTTGGAAGTAGGCGTCAGGGCCTTTCCGAAGTTGCTGCTTGAGTCTGACCACTGGGGAGGTGGGCACGCGTGCTTGCCTACGAGGCGCAGAGCAGGAAAGCGAGAAATCTCCCCCCGTGGGGCCTGGCCATGCTGCAGTTCCTGCTCTTCCATCCTTCTCTTGGGATGCTGGGCATGCACGCACACGTGACCAGTGTGGTTTTCAAGCCACCAGGTCTGGGACTCAGATGGCTCAAGCATTCACATGGGGTCCAGGCCGACCGCTGACCTCAGCTTTCCTTGTTAAAGTTATTTCATTTCTTCTGAGAGTGGCACCCCCAGCAGGGCTCTCACGCTGGGACCACCCCATGCCCCCAGCCTGAGCCAGCAGGATCCCGGGCTCATGCGCCTGGCGTGTGCAGGGAGACCTCGGGATCATACTGGGACCTTCCCTGTGGGCGGGGAGCCTCGCGGCACGGAGCTCCCAGAGCCCAGCTGCCGGCCCGTATTTTATGGCTGGTGTTACAAGCCTGCCTAGTGGTTCATTCGATAGGGAAGAAGCAGGTCGGTGGCTGGCTGGTGACCAGATGAACTGTCCCCAGGTCTCTGGCTACAGGGCAGGGTTGTGACCACCTCATTCTTCAGATGGGATGGCTGAGGTCGCAGTCCCCTCCTCCGCTGGGCCTCGCGGGTGCCCGTAGTGCTCAGAGAAGTGGCCAGGGAAGCAGGTCACAGATGGGATGGCGGTGGCTGTGGCCTCAGGGCTCCATGGAAGCCCCCCTGCCTGGGAACCCAGCTGCAGTGACACCCCACAGCAGCTGCTGACCTTGGGTCCGGTGGCTCCGGCTCAGCCTTGTCTACCCCCTTCCTTACCTCCACCAGGGGCCACGGGGCAGTGCTGAAGGGACAGTTCCTGCTGCTTGGGGACTTGCGGGTACTGACCTGGCCCCAACCCGACCCTTGACATAGCAGGCCTTGGGGTTCTTAGGCAGGAGGGACCATGGAGGACCCAGTGGCTGCTGGGTAGAGCCAGGAGAGAGGCTGAGAGGGCCAGGGTCACTTGCACCTTGTACATGGGACACAGCCCTGGGCCTGAGGGCCCTGAGGACCTCTCAGGGCTGCCTGCACGCTCCCTGTGTTCCAGCGTGCTCTCTGCTCCCACCCACGTGCCTAGGAGGTTACGATGCAGAGCCAGGGTGGGCGGCTCTGGGAATGGCCAACATGGCCGAAGGACTGGCGGCAGGAGGAGGAGGCTGAGGCGGTAACCGGGGTCAGGCTGCTTCCCAGTGCAGCCCAAGCCTCAAGGGCACCCCCGGATTAGAGGCAGGAGGGGGTTAATGGAGCTGCCTCCTGATAGGGGAGAGGAAGGAGGTGTCCAGGACAGGAGGGGCCACCCCACCAGGGGGCCTGCTAGTGACAGGCCCAGCTGGGGACGGGGACACCCGGGTGGTGGCGGGGGTGTGTGTGTACAAAACCTCCTGTTCAGCCCTTCCCACGGCCAGGGGTCTGCTTCCTCTGCTCCCTCTGTAACCCTGGGTCCCTGGGTCCCCTCCAGAAGGGGAAGCCACCACAAGGGGCTGGTTCCCTGGAGGAGGATGGCCTCCCAGAGCCCTGACCAATGGAGGGCAGGTGGCCACGGGGCCAAGATTACCACCCGCCAGCGGCTGGCCCTCCCCACACCCCCCCCCCCCATGTACTCCCTGGCCCCTGTTGGGGTCTGGCCGTTCTCAGGGCTCTGCCTCCCACCCGGGGCGGGGGCCGGGCAGAGGGAAAACCTCCTCATTGTGTCACTTCCCTTCATGGGCTGCCAAGGGGCCAGCGCAGCCCTGCGCCCTGCCCTTCCCTTCCCTCCCTCGCTTGTGTTTATTCTCACTTCCGCCCGCCCCCTGGAGAGCCCCAGGCCTGCCCACTGCTGCTCTGCAGATGGAGCAAGGCGCAGGCCCAGCCCCTCTTCCTGCCTTGGATTTCCTGCGGTCTGGCCATGCTGGGGCCTCCCCGAGAGGGGAGCTTCCACTGGGGAGAGGCTTCGGGGTGCCTGGGGCAGCCCCGTGAAGTGCCCTGGGAGCTGGTCCGGCCTGGTCCTCCCCTGCGGCCTGGCCAAGGTGCTCCATGGTGCTGACACTGCGGCCCCTCCTGGTGAGGGAAGGCCGGGGCCGAGGAAGTGCTACCACAGAACCGGGCATGCGGCCGCCTGGAGACTGGTTGTTCCGAACCCTTCTTTTAATTTGCCCAAGGGCACAGGCACTCACAGGAGGAAGAGAGACACCCCGGGACCTGGTCAGGTGGCAACCCCTTCTCCATCTCACCTCCCTTTTGAGGTTTTGGGCGCACACACACACACAATTGGCTGGCATATTTTTCAAGCCACCAGGTCTGGGAATTGAACCGTGTGGTTAGTTAGCTATGTAGGATCCAGCAGCCTTAACCTCCAGGCCACAGGTTGGCTCCTGAACCTTTCTTGCTGAGCACATCCTTTTGGCAATCTGATGAAGGCCCCAGGGTCCCACCCCAGAAAGAGGCACTCCACGCGGCACCGTGCGCGGATTTCAGGGGCGCGCAGAAGCAGGTTAAGAAGCCCAGCCCTGGATCGTACTCCACACCCTCCTGTCTCAGGAGTCACGAAGCTAAAGCAGCTTGCCCCACGACGCACAGATGCTTCTACTGTGTGGACGCTCCCGCCCCCATCCACGCCCACAGAGCCCTGCTCTTGGGACCTGGGAGAGGCGCAGTGTGTGGGTGGAGCACCCCCTCTGCACTCCCCGGGGCCCACTGCCCGAGTCTTAGCTTGCGTCCTTCCTTGTGTCTGTGACCACGTGAGAAGGACCCCTAAGGGAGCGTGGAGGGTGGACCCTGGTGCAAATCGAAGCTCGAGAAGCCCAGCGTGTAAGAGAGCTCAGGCAATAAAAGAGAAGATCGATATTTTAGACTTCATAATAATGCGGAACTCGGGGCCCACAGACAGCACGGCAGTTACATCGTTGGACTCCCACACGGCTGATCCGGACCTGGCGGCTTGAAATTCACACCAGACACATGTGCATGCATGCTCACGATCCCGGGGAGAATGGGTAGGGCGTGGCCATGGGGGGACTGTGTGATCTCTCACTTTCCCTCTCACTGTCTCTGCCTCTCTCAGTGAGTGCATGTGCCCTAAGGCAAAACTTCTTACAGAAAAAAAAAGTAGAACTTTTGGGCTTTAAAAGCCCATCAAAAAAGTGAACGACAACTGCAGAATAAGAGAAAATACTCGCAAACCGCCTGCCTGATAAAGGCCGTCTCTTCAGAATACACAAGCACCCTCAGAAGTCAGTAATAAGAGCCCCGCTGAACCGTGAGGCAAAGAACCTGGGTGGACATCTCACCAGCGACACCAAGAGCCAATCGGTGCGTGAAAAGACGCGCGGCTTCCTCGGCCCTAAGGAACTTGCAAGTGGAACCCGCAGCAAGGACCTGGCTCCCAGGGCTGGCAGCAGTGTGGTGTGCAGGGGAGGCTGGCTCCCACGGGGGCTACGGCTCGAATCCCTGACCAGGTCAGTTTGAAGCCAACCAGGCACGTGCATGAGTGCCCACGACCTAACAGCACACGTGTGCATGCCAGAGCGCGGCCGGCCGACGAGGGGCACATGGCTCTCTCTCTGTGTCCCGAGTACACACACACTCTATCGTGAATAAAGGAGACGAAACAAAACACCCCAATGAGCTACCATTGCATACCTACTAAGACAGTGTCATAAAAAAGATGACAGAGAGGCCAGCAGGTGGTGTGGTGGTTAAAGATGCTGGACTCCCCCATGGCCAGCCATGGTTCGCGTCCTGGACCTGGTGACTTGTTTTCTCACTTTCCCTCTCTCTTGCCCTGTCTGTTTCTGGTGAGGACACAGGCCCTATAACAACGTTTAATAATAGAATAAAATTGAGCAAGATGATACACGTATTGACGAGGGGGTGAGGAACTGGAACCCTTCTTCATCCGTCACTGACAGGAAGGAGAAGTAGCACAGCCCCTGGGCAGTCCTGCTCAGCCGTGGCCCAGCAGCCTCGCTCCTTGGTACGTATCCAGGAGTGAGGGTGCGTCCACACGGAACGGGCGGGCGTGTCCACACGGCACTAGCCAGGACTAGAAACCAGCCTGTGTCTGCCAGCTGAGGAATGCGGTGAATTCACACAAGAACATATCATCTGGCCTTAGAGAAAGGAAAGAGGGCCAGCAGGTGGCGTGGAGGTTAAGGCACTGGATCCTTACCCTCCAACGGCACAGTTCAAGTCCTAGACCTGGCAGACACACGTGCATGCCCAAGATCCCAAGAAGAGAATGAAAGAGAAGGGACTGCGGCGTGGTCATCCTTTGGGAGAAGATTTCTCATTTCCCCTGCTCTCTCTCTGGAGAGTATATGTGCCCTACAGCAAAACTGAAGAAAAAAGTAGCGAAGCACTGACACAGGTTAAAACGTGGAGAACCTTGGGAACCAGCAGTTAGCGTAATGGCTATGTCGCTGGACTCCCACGTAGTCGACCGCGGTTCGTGTCCCGGACCCGGTGGCTTAAAACTCACGCCGGGCACGTGTGCATGCGTGCCCAAGATCCCGAGAGGAGAATGGAGGAGAAGGGATTGCAGTGTGACCATCCCCCCTGGGGGGTGATTTCTCGCTTTCTGTCTCTATGTCTCTCTCTGTCTGTCTGGTGAACGCACGCGCCC